GCTGCAATTTAATTGCTTGTCAAAGTAAGTTGTCAGTGTTATTGGTTTCTTTGGACTGAAACTTCAGTTCAAGGGCAGAAAGCGCGAGCTTTCTGCCCCTGTTAACAAAAGTGTGAACGGGCAGGCACGCGCAACCGAAGCACTGCGGAAGCCAGCGAGCTCGAACTAAAGGCGGAGCTTCTAGTCTCAGCTTAAGGGTGAACGGAGTATAATTGTATTTGTAAGTTAACTACTTTTCGACCTCATTAATTGCAATGTTTCAATTACAATTACAGCTACCTTTTTTTTTAACAGCAACAACCATTATTAGCGGGGTTTCGCAATGGATTCGGCGTGTGTACGGTGTATCGTACGGCCCTCTAAATTCAGCGGGAAAATAACACGTCACGTGACAATGACGTCACGCGAAAATTTGCCTCGTTAAATGCAGCGGATAAATTCGTCCGCTAAATTTAGCGGGAAAACTGCAACGTCAAGTCGCGTGAAGTTCCGTCATGGGACGTCTCCTCGCGCGTGCAACCGCTCCAGAGGGGTGCGTTTCTTCTGAACACGCGGCTGCAATGCGGCGAAGCGAGACACGCAAGATTGTCGTCGCGCCACCACCCTTGGGGTGTAGCTTCTCCGCAGCGCACGAGTGTGCGGAAAAAAGCGCACTCAACGGATTTGATACCTGCGCGTGTTCGATGCAGACATCGACTCGAAAACAATACGTTTTTTTCGAAACGATAACCGAGAGTTCCGAAAGTTCGACATCTTTCAGAACGCAGCCTCGAGACACGTTTCGGAGCACACATATACGTATAAAGCCAACATGATTCGAAGATACTTGGGGCGTGTTCGCAAATCAATGACGATGATGACAATTCTGTCATCATCGTCAATTAGTTGCGTTGTTGACAGGGCGAAACTGAAGCGTCGCGCAATCTTGCGTAGATTTCTCGCATGTTAGGTGAAATGCAGCGGGATTCATGAGAACGACTACTCTGGCGCAGTTCGGCACAAAATCGCGTAGCGATCATATCACTTGTTCGATATACATGCGCTGCACGGAAAGCAGGAATACAATCAAATACCGGAAGCCACACGAGAGACACGGGGCGGGCGTTTTCCTTGTTAACACACACACAAACACACACACACTCACGCACACGTACACTCACACACACACACGCACGCGCGCACACATACACACACACACGCACACACGTGCAGCACAAAAGGGATGAGCTGTATCAACCTGCGATGAAGCACAGCGACAGGAGCCTCTACGCAAGACGTGTCGCTAAGGGTATATACCCCCTCCTCCGGGAAGTGGCGATCATCTCCCACCAAGCGAACCGATTTTTTTTTTTTTGGTCTCGTTTTCTTATTTGTTGTCTTCGTTCGTTTCTTGCGGACCTGACAACCGAAGAAAAGTGATGTGGACGACGAGGAGGCGCTCCCGAAAATTACAAGGCGTCACACGCTCGCTGTTGTCGCATCGGTCAGCTGGCTCTTTCCTCGTGTGCGGGTTACGTGATTGCGTCGCCCCAGACAAACAAAACGATCCAAAAAGTCGTTCCTCTGCGGTGCCCCTTTTATATATAAAGAAACCGTCCGGCCGATCGCGAAGAAATGAGGGTTCTGTGGGGCGTTCGCGTGCAGCCCGCGATGAATAGTCGTTATTATGGATCTCCAGCATCGGAGGTACGCCATACTGCGACGGCTGATTTGGTCCTTGTTCTTCGTCTCAGCTTCTCCTTGATTCTGTTGCCTTTGGCTTTGTTCTTGTTTGGCTAGCCTCGTCTATTTATTTATTTAGTTGGCCTCGTTGGCGCATCGGAGGGGCGATTAATGCCTAGATTTTGACGTACGCGCTCGGGGGAATTTCTTTGCCGATACATTCGCGGAACGCAACGGTAGCGCGAAACCCTATTTAAAAAGAGAGAGAGAGAGAAAAAACAACAACATCGACCGATGATTACCCGTTTATTTCCGGACTTTTCCAATTATGCCTACGCACCCCGCTGAAAAAGCGAGTGAGTGAAAAAAAGGCAAGCAAATGACAAAATAAAAAACCCGCAATAAATATGGCACCCCAATCTCGCCAGGTATTCCTTTATATACGACCACTGTCTACACGCGGGCGCGCCCCTCAGGAACGCCAGGCGGGAATTGATGCGTCGACACTGGTGTGTGGATACAAGGGGAGCGGATGAATTATATTCCCCGTTCGACCTGAGAAATGCTAGCGCGTTTTGGGCGGTTCCACGGGAAGGAGTGGATTCTGACAAGGCGCAAGGTGGTACCGCGAGATTGTCGTCTCGGAGGCGTCCGTCTTCATTATCCCCCATCGAGACGAAACATATTGCCGTGACCTTAATGTATACAAAGCATTATCATGAGGCTTTTGGATGACCTGCAGACTATAGTGCACGGAATGCATTGTAGGTCATGCCGGAAGCATTTTCCCGTTACATTTAGCGGGAAATGATAACGTCGCGTGACTTTATTGGTGAGGCGGCAAATTTTGCCTCAATGTAGGTGGGTAGATCACGAATCACCATGGGTTACGTGACCATGACGGAAGACCCTCAGACTCGGGCGAGCTGAGCTTGAAACGATGCATGACTCCCTCCCTTTTTTTTTTCTATCTTCTCTTTCTCTTTTATTAGTATTACTTTCTTACCGCCTGCGCCCTCAGGGTTTGCCATATCATGTTCCAAGTGCACGACCTCACCTGTCATAATCGTAGTCACGTGACCTATAGTCGCAACCACCCACGTGACTCATAGTCAGATAAACCCCATGATCAAGCAACTCGTAGCAATAGACACATTTACATTTCCCCGCTAAATACGACGAGAAAACTTATGCGCAGGCCCACGGGCGCACGGACGGGCCAATTCCTGGGATGATTACGTTAAAAATCATTCCGTGCTTTGGAAAGAAAAGACAACGATGGCGCTGTTTGTAATTCTATGGCGCCAAGGTGGACTAAACAGCGCTGAAAGAAAGTTATATTATTGTTTCGCGCGAAGAGACGAGAAAAAGCGTTATACGATCACAGAAATACCAGTGTTTAGACAAAGGGTCAATTCAGATGTCATCCAATAGTAGCGCACACCGGAGGGCTTTACCGACAGAAATCTACAGGGGTTATAGGTGAGATCGGCAGTATCCGAATACCGCGGTTTGACACGCTCGTAAGCAAAATTGATCTGAACGTTAGGCTGCTGCGCTCTCCGAATGCCACAGTAGAGTGTTTATGCTCTTTTTGCTTCTCGGCCAGTGTCGAGTGAGGTAGTCATAGTCATGTGACCTAAGCTGAGAACTACACCGAGGCTTGTTTTCTGGATTCGAAATGAAAAGAGCCAGTTAAAGCTATCCCCGTCTTTTGATTCTGCAGGCAGCGCCGGATGTATCCCAAGCATGTTAGCTTCATGCGCATGCATGCTTCGAAGATGTCCGCACACACTTTTTGTGTGATGTCATACAAGGAAGACCTCAGACGGTGCCAGCACACTGTCTTCTGTAAGATGTGTATTACGGCGTCTGTACGATGTGTATTACTGCCCCCGAAATTCCTAGAGAGAAATTGCGTCACTACGCCACTCTATACGAACGCACCAATTGGCTGACGTCACGAAAGAAAAGCAGTATTCGTCAGCTCCCTTTTTTCGAGATTGGCGCCCGCAAAAATAAAGCCTCCGCCTAGCGCCCAACGCACCTCGGCGCATTTAAACACTAAAATGACTTTTTTTTTTTTTTTTTTTTTTGTAAGCGAAGCTTTTTTTGCAATTTTTATGCTTCAACCGACTACAAACCGAATTTCTCTACAGCCCGCGTTTAATCGCAGCTTGAAAGTAAATGGCCCGGCCGTCTCTGCTGCACAGGAAGCAGTGGCAAAAAGGTGGCGGCGGCCGGTGCGGCCAGCGTGCCTTCGGGGCGTAGGCAGTAAGCCCTGGAGGGGGACACTAAGGTAGAAGGATGCCGCGAGGGAGAGGGGGGAAGGGGGAGATGGTCCGAGGTCAGCGGCCTGCCGCTGGTCCGAAGAAGCGTCTCGCCGAAATGCGGGCGTTTCTCGAAACCGGTTCGTGAACCGGCCTCCTCGCAGCAGCCAGACCGGTGGCAGCGACTGCGCGACGGCGGCAGAGTACCACCGCCGCCACCACCGCCACACCACCACCACCGCCACCTGACGTGGGTCGGTCCAGCGGAGCAACGCGAGCGGCGGTAGCCTCTCGTCTAGACAGACGCGCCGAGAGGAGGCTCACGAGAGCGAACTACTCGAAGCCACGCCTTTGGAAGTCCGTGTCGTTGTCAAAAGTAGAGCAACGTAAAAAAGAAAAGAAAAAAAAAAGTGATGCTCGATTGATTAGTTTTTCCGTAGACGGCAAAACTTTGGTGATTAGTTTGGGAACAACACTTGGAAATTTGATGGAAACTATCCCATCGCAACGCTGTATTCACTGCGCGACACTGTTAATGCAAACGAGCGATCGCCGTGTATTTTCTCTCTCTCTCCTTCTCTTAATATTTGAAGGCTGTCATAAAGATAACTAGTGTGGGTGAAGATGCTGATTTGTGGAATTAATCTGAGAGTCAAAGTGTGGCGCCCGCCAAGTTAATAAATACAGTCCAAAAGGGCGCCAATGTCGTGTTTGCACTAACGGTGTCGCGCACCGTACTTCCCCATGAACTAATAAATCCAACACCCTATATCGCTTGTCGTATTGATTATACATTTTTGGTATTCCAAGTTTTAAAGCATCATCTTTTCAGAGAAATTTTGATATATCAAATGTCCATTGATTGCAACCGTCTTCTCACTTTGATCGCTAACATTACTGATTTTTTCTTTTAATATTCTTACTAATATGCGCACTTTCTAATTGTCTTTCTAACCTCGAGAATTCTACTCTTCAATGTATTATCTTGACGGTATTTTAAATATATAAATGAACAGGTAAATAAAAGGGAGAGGTACTTGGCTCTTTTAGAGAGAAGGAAGCATGCACCTGGTGTTAGTCGCTCCTCAAAGTGATGGTGGAACTCTTGTTTTTTGTCGGTTTTGAAACAATCTAGATTAGTAGGCAAAGGTGCACGTGGGCATCTTTGCCAATTATATTGTTTGTTTGTTTTCCTTTACCATTCCTGAAATTAATTTATATCCTTTTAGATTGAATATGCTTCCTTGATCATTATATATACCACTCGCTAGGTGTCATCGACAGGCATTATAAACGTGAACACACGTGCTCGCTGATATCTAAATGCGCAGGAGTTTTAGAGATGCTACTGGAAACGCAGCGCATTAAAGTCCCAGGTGACTTGATAATCTCCGAGTCGCCGCAAAGATTACAAGTCACTCGATAAGCACGACGAACCGACCGCGTGAAGCAAAACAAACTATACCGACATTGCACATTTCTTACGTCTGCCAGTGACACGTGTACCGCTTGCGGTCGTGAAGGTGAGAACCCTGAAAATATAGTCACCGTCAACTTAAGCAACGCAAAGCGTGGCGACTTCCGAGCATCTCATTACCACTCCGCGGCCAATGAGATTGCGGTATTATCAGATGAGAATGCCCAAGAACCAATCACGAAGCAGGAAACATGACAATAATAAGCCACACCCTACGCTTAAGACGTCAGTTACTCTAAATTGAGTATTCGCGGAGGTCCGGCGGTTTACCTAAAATTAATCCACCCGGGGTTTAGGGTGTGGACGAGTTCGCCACATGTCGACAGTTTTTTTATCATTGGCTTTCGTTTATCGATGCTCATCGGAAGAAAATTGAAGCGTCAAGCTTCGCGTGCATGCTTCGCCGAAGGGCGTCTTATCAGCCGTGCCTCTTTTACTTCCTTGGGTTGTAGCTTAAGGGATTTACGTCTAATTACGTCGTTGCGTGATATCTCCCTCTAATCTACGCGAGGAAGCATGCCATTAAGTATCGGAAGGGACCTTTTCGAGACGAACTGGCGACTAACCACACCTAACCAAATTGGCGCTAAACGGTTTGCTCCAAATAAGGCTAATAGGTGTTTGTGGAAGAGCCCGATAGAGGGGATTCGGGGGCGACCTTTTTTCTGGCCTCAGAAGGGCGATTGCCGTTTCACTGAAGGAGTTCGGACCTTCGAGGTTTCCATCTCTTGTTTAGTTTCTGTTAGAGAAACGTCCTTCATCTTTCCAAACTTACAAGAGGTCATTTCTGGTTGTATTGTCGCTGTCTTAGATATATACTCGGTTTAAACTCAAAATTACCCATTATCTGCTCAACAAGTCATGAACACGAGTGTATAAGGTCCTCGGAGACGCTATACTATTGTCGTGCACGCTCAATGTTTTATTCGAGCTTCTTTCGCAAGGGGCGACTTGCATTGGTGCCGCAAGATTTGAGGGTCGCCAATCGCTGATGTTTGTGAAAACCCTGACTAGTAAAGTAAGAGCGTTGGAGTTACTATTTGACATTGGCAAGTAAGAGTGTTAGTTCTACACGGCTGCGAAGTTGAGAAACACAAAAACATCAGCACATGAAGAGCACCTGTAATAGAAGTAAGGGTTGCAGAACGATGGTCTGGTTCTCGGCGCGAATGGTGAACGGCCTTGCGGCGTTTGCCAACTTATGAAATGGTATCCACTGCTGCGCGATACATGCTAAAGGCCTTTGGTTACTTGTCAAAGTGTCCCTCAACAATGCAAGCATCGGATGCCATTTTACGGCAGACTATAACATCCCCACTGACAAGCAACTTTTCATCAATTTAGTAGGACATCGAGCGTTATATGCCTGGTTCGATACACTTTTACTTTTGATTTCGCAATTGCAACGTCGATTTCGCGACAAAAGAAAAAGAAAATGATGGAAGCTGCAGTGTTTGACGCCGCAACTGCGAGGTCGTAAGGAAAATCGCACCATGTGAATCGGGGACTACTGAACTGATCAGAAACAGCGATGGTGAGAAGGAACAGCGAGCATGCTCATTTTAGGGCAAGTATGCTCCTGGCCATTTTGATTGTAAAAGACGTAGGATGACAAGTTTAAACGGTTGGGAGATCAGCCTGGCGACCCTGACCCGTTGGCCCCGATATTCACCCGCGCGGAACGCACCGAAGAGCGAGACTGCTTCGTTTTAGTTCCGCATAAAGCACAGCTAAGACTGGGCGGGCGTGAGATGAAAAGCCTCGAATGGTGATGATCAAGCGCTGTAATTCGTCTTGTAGCAACTATTTTTGAAGTGTCTAATACTTTAGTTACAATAGCGCTTTCAACTGTCATTAAGCCAACGATCATTGGCACCTCCCAACTTCCCCTGAGCTCAACTAAATTGTGCGGTGTTACACGGTACACGTAGGCCTAACAATCCCAGTTTAGATGCGCCTCAAAGGACACAGTTGAAACCGAAATGAAACCAGAACTGATGTCACATTACCTTTTTTTTTTAAGTGATGCTAATGAATTGTATGCATACTTTTCATTCATTATAAACGCCTAAAACAAAACTAAATGAACTTTTTTGTTTTGTTTTAAGAGTAAAGAAACGATAATCAGAACGTTTAACGCGAATTGAAGCAAGATAAACATAGCGAAGGTCTTACGGGCACCGACATCACAATGGCCGCCCTCGCCGAACTTTGGCTTCCGCGACTTGCCGTGATCGTTCTAGTGGCAGCTATGGCCCTGAATCAAACCTTTTCCGGCAATATTTGCTGCTATGATACTTTCTAGATGCCTCCCCTAATCTTCCGCAATACTAAGTGATTCGCTGGCGCAGTCCATGAGCGGCGATACTGAATCAACTGTCCTTGGCTTAATGGAAGTTAAGAGCGCTAGTGTAACTAGGGCATAAGAAGCATACCTTTCGGTGGTGTTCAAGAAATGTGGTTTATCCTGTCCGGCTAGAAGCTACCCTTACCAAAATATTTATCCACTTTCTACATAACTTATAGAAAAAATAGTACAAAATAAAATGTATTCACTTTTCTACCACTGTCCCTAGCTTTTTGGTCGCTTTTTTTATGTAGACTTCTTATAGAACTTAGTGTACAGAGTTTGGATAGAAATTGCATAGAAAACCTAGAGAGAGTTTAATAGCGTTTCTATCCCCTTTCTAACCACAATAAATCAATTTTTCGAAAAGCGTATTTTTAATTGTGATTATTAATTTTAGGTTTGTCACGATACATTCATGGAGTCATGCACTCGCCACTTGCCGTGTGCACATACGCAGACATCACAAATACATACGCCACGGAGCACTCATAACACTAGTAATTCAGTAGTGCTCACTGCTGCATCGCTAGATACTCTAAAAAAAGCCCGTGCGTCTACTTTCCCTCACAACACCCGGAAAGCCAATCACCGTAACTTACGGAGGCCGCTCAGCGAATGACTATGCCGAAACATATGTTTAAATAAAAAACAAAACAAAAAAACGCAGTCCGAGTTGTGACATTAATGGAACACTGACCCCCCCCCCCCCCCCCACACACACACACACACAGTTTTTTTTTTTCGTTTTTTGCCAGGCGATTCATTATAATGTCGGAATACTACCCAATTAATATTTTGATACAGAGTCACGTATTTTTTTTTAATAAAGCCAAAAAACACAACTGCTCGAAACCGAAACCCCTGCACCGCACGGAGAAGTGGAGAGGAGAGAGTGAGTGGCGGAAGTTACGTAACTACACCTTACCGTGCGATTTCTTTTTTTTTTTTTTTCGCTTGCAGCAGACGAAATGCGTTGCGAAATCCGTTCGCCGTGCTTTGCAGTTATATTTGTTCCGCTCGCTATTCTGTACTTCAAGATGAGTTGTTTTGTACGTTTAAGTGTTGGCAATTAGTAATGAGCGGCCGTGGTGAATTCCCGGGATCGGCTCCGAATAGAATACTCCCAAGATGTTGCGTGAAGAGCTGCCTCGCATGTCCTGCATCTGAAAGTGGCATTGTGCGGCAGAGGTGTCAAAAACGGAATCCCATACCATTTAGTTCAGTGACGTATCGTACACAACAATTAGATTTTTTAGTGATAATAGTAAAAAAAAAAAAAAAAGAAATGTAAACATCGCCAAATGTTTGAAATGGTAGCCCACACTAGGGATTGAACCCGTGCCCGCTGCGTTTGGTGGTCGTGTCTAAATCTTAGAAAGCGGCCCGCCACGGAAAAGAGAGTGAGCGCGACTCAAACCGGTCAGTTCTCGGTCGGCGGTTTTCGGGCGGAAAGAAACCGAATTTCGAGCCGCAAATTCTGTTCTGGGTAGTTGGGCTCTCGAATGTCAAGTACAACTAAAAACTTCGGCGAGCATAAATACCTTGTGTCAGTGTCCGTTTAAGCAATGCAAAACGTCACGCTTGCATTGCTTAATGTCACAGCTCAGTCTGCGTGTTTTGGTCTAAACATATGTTTCGGCATCTTCATTCGCTGAGCTGCCTCCGTAAGTTGCGGTGATTGGCTCTCCGGGTGTTGTGCGGGAAAGTAAACAACGGGCTTTTTTTTTTTCAGAGTGATACCCTACAATTGAAAGGCAATTGCTTGAACGAGGACTATCCCAGAAGGTGAAAAGATTACTAGTATGTTGCTTTTTCTTCGCACATAGTTTAGACTGAATGTGATTTATTCGGGTTGGTTAACTGCATCTCCATCTTAGCATTGCAAGAGGCGCTAATTATTTGACAGTCGAAAAAAGCAGACTCGTAAGGAGGCTCCGACTGGCTGTGATATCGCTTCTCCGCACTGCATCTTATTATTTTATCAATTCTACCGTATAGAAATTCTATAGAAGTACTGTGGGAGAAAGTTTATTGGCACGAGGTGTTAGAAATCAGAAAGTGCATTGAAAATTGTTGATACCAGGTGAGTGGGTAGGAAGTTGAGAGGGTCGTTGACCGTGAATAGGATTTGTATAGACTGCCTGAAATATTTTTTTTGTAAGGGTTCTACATGTGTTTTCGCTCGAAGTTCGCTCAGAATAAAAAAAGCAATGCCAACTTGCGTGCTGGTCATGCTTCGGCAAATTTGCAGCTGGAGTGATCTATATTGAGAATCGGAATTAGCCAGGATGACAGTCCGGT